GTATAGACATTTTGCTATATATACACTAAATATGTTAACTCATTTAGTCTACACAATAACACTGCAAGACAGGTCTTAATATCTCCATTTTGCAGGTTAGGAAACTATGACTTTCTGTAACTAGAGCTTTTTTATGGGAGTAAGAAAGACAGCGGGACTTTGCATTATAGATTTGTAAAATTCACCATTTCAAGAAATATATCTATTAAATTATGAGTCACCATGCTAGGTATAGCACGAGGAGCACCTTAGCATCTGCCAGGAAGAAATCCTCATGAAACTGGTACCAACACCTTGTTTCAAGGACCATATAAGATCTGGCCAGTCTTGGAGGGCTGGGAACAATTCACATTTAAGACCCTTGGTATATAACTATGTAGCAATTATTTTGGGCTGACATAGTGAACCCTTTGCACAAAATTTCCTGCAGCTTTCCTGAATTGAAAGGGAAAGGGAGTTCCAATTCTTGGAATCAGGAAGAGTAATGGGAGTAAAATATGCATAATTAAGAGTGACGCTACCCCACCTAAGAAAAATAAAAAGACAATTAAGATCCAAGCGGGGCCTCCCTGGTGGCACAGGGGTTAAAGACAGCACTGTTAAGCTATCCCACTGCAGTACTAGCTCAATTCCCAGCCAGCCAGGGAGATATCAACATGGCACAGCAGACCTCTCCTGCTTGGCCTGCTGCTCCCCCAGCAGTGCATGTCAGTCAATCTGCCTGTTCTGCTCCCCACTCTATCTCCGGTGAATCCTCTCACCCCCCCACCCTGCATCTCTGGCCTGTACCCCAGCTTTTGTATGCATAAATAATAAATAAATCTTAAAAAAAATCCAAGTGGCTTAATGCTTCTGGGCAAATCTGCTTTCCAAGACTGCCACTGCCTTGTGCAGTGTTTAATTCTCCAATAAATGCTATCATTTGCTTTATTGTTGGTACTTATGAAATTCTTTTCTTGTAAGACACCAAAGACCCTCAATTCTTGCTGTATCCCAACAATCAGGACAAAGCCAGAAAATACAAAGCTACTGCCCTTCTTTCAAGAGACACACAGTAGGATAACAGGGAAAGGAAAATTTATAGAAGATTTACAACTTCAAAGATATTCAATCTATAAATTCCAAATTAGAGCAAGAAAAACTTGATCCAAAGGGAAATTTCAGCCATATCATTAACTATCTTTCAACTTATTTCTATCATACAGCTACATATGGCATATATAAATGCTTAAATAAATAAGGGGTGATAGATTATTGTTAACTGTTTTTGGAAACTACTCTTCCCTAATTCCAATAACACTACTATGAAGGGACTGTTAATCATGGTAACTTTCTTTCTGGCTTCAGGATTGGGCTTAAGTGGCTGAACTAATCATGGTGTCTCATGCCTCTGGCCAACCTGACAGATTCAAATATGGGTATGGCATATTTGGAGTTCTTCCTTGGGATTTTTCTATATGATAGAGAACAGTTTATCCTCCTGGGTTGTGAGAATGGAAGCCACAACTGTGACAGATGGTTATGGGCCTTTATTTAAAGGAACAGCCAGGGTTGGAAATTAGGCTAAACCAGAGGAAAGTGAGGTAGGGAGAAAATAGAAGGTCCTAGGGAGGAGAAAGAGGTAGAGAGAGGACATTCAAAACAACAGATAGTGGGAGACAAAAGTACAAACATACCAGATCAACCCTCATTGACTGAAGTTAAAATTTCTGTATCCAGGCAATTCATACACAAGTTTTTTTCCTGCTTTTCTGGGTGTTGAAACAAGTAACAACTCTATCTTTGTTTAAGATATTTGGAGAAGGGTATTTATTATCTACAATGATAAACTTATAAAAGAAAGCATGCTCATGACTAGGCTAAGTTCTTATTTCCTTGCCTAAGTCAAATGCAATTATATAACAAATTAAATTGCAAATATTTCTGGAGACACGAAAAGAGGTAAGACACCATGGCTTAGTAACATTTACACTCCTCTACCAGAAATGAAGACAAGAAACATATCATTGGGAAAAAAAGACCAAAATGCAATCATAAAAAAGGTTATAACCTATATAAAATAAAATAAAATTACTTATAAAATATAATAATATAATATAATTTTATAATATAAAATAAAAATGACTTATCATTAAGCTATAAATTTAACTATTAAACAAAATATTCACATACAAGCATAAAAATACAGAGGAGGCATCAATCGGGTTGGGGACCAATATGCCATTTTAAATGTTTGTAGTGGTACTTGAGGTTATACTTACTTTGACTGTACTAGAGGTCTAACACCTTAATTGACCACACCCTGGTTTTCTGTCAATGTCCCAGAGAGCACTCAACATATTCCTGAAGTACCCTCTCATTTAAGTACAGAAAATCTGATATAAAATTTACATTAATACCAAGTTGGCTTCATTTGTGCAGTCAAACTAGTGTGTACTCTGAACAGCTTTGAGCCTAATTTTATGCTTCACTATCTTAAAATTGTCAAATATTTTTAAGAAGGGGGCACACATTTTCCTGTTGCATTGTTTCCTGAAAAACATGTAGTTGCTCCTGCACTAAAGAAAGATAAATTTGGAGGCCTCCCTGGTGGCACAGGGGTTAAGTTTTAGCACTATCATGCTATTACCACTGCAGCCTCAGTTTGATCCCGGACCAGGGAGTTAACCCACATATGATGCAGCAGACCTCTTCTATTGTACCCGCTACTCCCCTTAGCAGTGCTCCCCACTCTGTCTCTAGTTAAACCTCTCATCTCCCCCCCAACTCTGGCCTACACCCTAGTTATTCTATGCATGAATAAATAAATCTTTTTTTAAAAAATACATTTTTCTACAACCAATTGTGACCAATGACTGGTCTTGCTTTACAAAACAGTCTACTTGCCAAAAATCACAATAAATTTCATCAAAGGACAAATACTTTCTCATCTGCCGAGTGCTCTTAGCACCTCAGTAAAAGCAAATTACTTAGAAAGCTGAGAAGTCTGCAGTAAAGAACACTTGTAATCTAGCAATTCATAACACTGACAAAAATGAAAGTAAAGGTACCCAGTGTGAGTCAATAAGCCCATACTATATTTTTAGTCCATGACAAACATAGGATCTGGTTAATTTTATGAGATACTTATACAGGAAAAAAAAAAAAAGCTAATTCTGGTCTTGTCAAATGGATAACATCATCACAAAATAGTGGATTATTATTGATAAGACTTTCTTAGAAACACAACTCTCCCTAGATAGGGTCATTAGAGAGTTGTTCATCCAAATTAGTCAGTCTGACCATTTCCCCCAAGAGGCCATCTCACCTTTTCTGCACCAGGATATGGCAGTAAAGGAGAAATAAGATGAGTGTGCGTCCACTTAATGTTCATTTCACACCTCCGGAGATGACTGCTATGCCAGCTGACTGCTCTGACTCACATACTTACTTTTTGTGCTAACAGAACAGTCTAAAACCACAGCTTCATCAGTCCTGTCTTTGTTAATGCCTAAATCCCACTATTTCCACTTTCACTTAGGACTCTAATCCCAGCTTTATGCAAACAATAATGCAAAAATAAGGAACTAATCTTTCAGTCTTGTTCCTGTGTGTATTGAATCTCAGGCCCTTTTCCAGGAGGCCAAGTTTAAGTTAGAGAAGAAACAGGTATATGGAGAACCAGTAAGGCTAAAAGGAAAAAAAAAAATTTTATATGATATGCCAAGGTAAAAAATAGTTTCCTTTTATAATTTTACAAATTCCAAATGCTTCGCTGGTAAGGAAAAAAAAGACAATATATAAAACTAACTCTGGTGGAAGTGGCCCAAATGTGTTTATCTTTAGTCAATTATCTCTCTTATCTCACCTGCATTTGACTAAAAATGCATCTTTTATGTTAACTCCCAAAGAGCCATCTGGAAGTTGAGCAAGTTCATTATCTTTAGAGTGGATATTTCAAGTGTTTTCCCTTTGTTCAAACAGCTCCTTTTTTCTGTGTACTATTCACAGAGGCATAGTATTGTTTTGTCTTCGGACAGAGCTGTGGAATGTAAGCTGAAGTGTTGAAGGGTCTACATGATCAATATGCATTAGCAATAATTTTACCTGATTTAAGAATCTATTCAAATCAACTTGAAAATGAAAGCTAGGTGGAAATTAGTTAGGGTTTTATATGTAAGCAAGAACAAAGTGAAGACAATAAGACAATAAGCAGAAAACTGGAATTTTGTGGTATGATGAACAAAGTGTCTTAAGGTTTACGTTTTCTAAAGCGCTTAAGCAAAGCTATTGCTATTCAAAACATGTTGGAAAGTATACTAATTGTTTTAGCATTAGGTTTAGTTTACAGTATAGATTATGTTTCCTTTTCATTCTCCCACTTGACCCGGCTATTTGGGGATGATATCCAGATACAGCCAGCTCTTTCCTGAGTTTATATTTAATACACTGCTATGGAATTTCATTATCACAGTGACAGAGCCTTAGTTGCATATACTTGACAAGTAGGTTTTCCTTCATTTTTGAAAATATGTAATTTAGGGCAGTGATATTATTTTATTAGATTCATTTAAAAAAATATTGGTCACTTCTTTCTTGTTGACATCTGGAACAAATTTTGATACAAAGATGAAATTTTGACAATATCCCATGAATTGAGGAAAACCCACAAAGCAAAAATAATTCATCTTACCTTTATATTCCTTATTATTGACCTTTTGAGGTGATTAGGTCCATCATTGCAGCAGGTCTGCTTTTGTGTAGTTTCCTCATTACAGAAGTTGTCTTACCAGAGATTGGTCCAGACAAACCAGCCCCTTAGCTATTCTCTGCAGCATCACAGCCTCTATGCTGATTCTTAATACTCAAATTTTCCCAAATTTTAGCACCCAATTAGACTTGATACACCAGCTGAAGGCCATCAATATTTTTTCATTCAGTCTATAAAAGTTGACAAACCTACTAGTAAACAGTAATTTTGAGATAACATTGTGCAAATAAAAAAAAAAATGACAACCTACCTCTCTTGTAGAATAAGCTTGTTCTCTTTCTTCCAAAAGTCTTTAAAATCAGAGCTGAATTCATGCCAGATACTGAAGAAAACATTTGGGGATACTTCTTTCTCACCAAGTTTTGGTTTCATTAAGAAATACGCTGTGGTCTCCAAAAAGCTGTTGAACACACACACACACACACACACACATATGAATATAAAAGCTATGATTACTTTTCAATATGGAATATTTCTCTATCCAAATGCTGATTTCATTCATGCAATTATCATTACCAAGAGGACTCAAACTCTCAGACACCAACAGTTCTCTATGATTCCATATTAGAGACTGGATATAATTAGTAGCTGCTACAAGAATCATTCATATTCTTAATAACTGTGGCTTCTTTTTTCAAAATTAATCTCTACATGTCCAACATATTTCGTAATTGAGCCTGTAGTCAAGTTAAAACATACTTGAAGTACTTGGTCGATACCTTCTAAACTCGAACAAATGAAATATCAGTCAGTTACCCCAAAGTAATACATATCTTATACATATCAGATAGGCATTTATATTGTTTATATGTTATTTGACTCCCTATATTGCTGTTGGAAAATAATCAAGAGTCCCAGGAGATGATCATAAAGTCTTCCATCGGAGATCATGACCATATCATTGAGTGGATACCAGTATGTCATCCAGCACTGACAGTAGACTGATAGTCTGGCCACCAGAAGCGCCACTCACAGGATGCCTCATATCCAACTACATAAAGCTCAGAAAAATTTCAAAAGAGGGCCTCCCCGGTGACGTAGTGGGTTGAGTGCAGCGCTGTGAAGCTGTCTGCAGCCTCTGCAGTGTGGGTTCAATTCCCGGCCGGCCAGGGAGATTCCCACATGGTGTGGCAGACCTCTCCTATCTCGCCCACTGCTCCTCTCAGCAGTGTTTTCAGTCTGTCTGTCTGTTCTGTTCCCTGCTCTGTTTCTGGTGAATTCTCTTACCCTCCCATGCCTCTGGCCTGTACCCCAGCTCTTGCATAAATAAATAAATCTTAAAAAAATTTCAAAAGAGTCATTTGGCAAAAAACATGCAACTAGTAAATGGTAGGTTAATGACATCACAAAAGTTTTCCATTCCCATGAACAATGCCCTAAAAGAACCTATCATGAGCATGCTTTCTTTTATAAGTTTATCATTGTAGATAATAAATACCCTTCTCCAAATACCTTAAACAAAGATAGAGTTGTTACTTGTTTCAACACTCAGAAAAGCAGGAAAAGAACTGGTGTATGAATTGGTTTAGCCTAATTTCCAACCCTGGCTGTTCCTTTAAGTAAAGGCCCATAACCATCTCTAGTATGGTAGCTCCATTTTTAGTAGACTAAGGAACCTCCAGACAGCTTTCCATAGTGCTTGGAACAGTTTGCACTCCCACCAGCAATGTAGCAGAGTTTCTTTTTCACCACATCCTGGCCAACATTTGTTGTTGCTTGTTTTTTGATATGAGCAATTCTTACTAGTGTAAGGTGGTATCTCAATGTGGTTTTAATTTGCATTTCCCTGATGATATGGGATGTTGAACATTTTTTCATATACCTGTTGGCCATTTGCATTTTCTCTTTGGAGAAATATCTTTTAAGTTCTTCTACCCATTTCTTGACTGGATTGTTTATTTTGTTTTTGTTGAGTCCTGTGAGCTCTTTGTATATCTTTGTGATCAGTCCCTTATCAGTTGACTGGGGTGCAAAGATTTTTTTCCCAATGAGTAGGGTGTCTCTCTGTTTTGGTTAATGTCTCTTTTGCTGTGCAGAAGCTTTTCAGCTTGATATAATCCCAGGTGTTTATCTTTGCCTTCACTAACACTGCTTTGGGTGATGAGTCTTTAAAGATGTTATTGCGATGTATGGCTTATAGTGTTTGACCTATATTTTCTTCTATATATTTTATGGTTTCAGGTCTTATGTCCAGTTCTTTTATCCATTTTGAGTTGATTTTTGTGCATGGTGAAAAGCAGTGGTCTAGTTTCATTTTTTTGCATGTGGAGGTCCAGTTTTCCCAACACCAATTATTGAACAAACTTTCCGTGTTCCATTGCATATTCTTTGCTCCTTTATCAAAGATCAGTTGTCCATATAAGTGTGGTTTTATTTCTGGGCTCTCTATTCGGTTCCATTGGTCTGTGTGTCTGTTTTTGTTCCAATACCAAACTAAACATTAAGAATTCTAAAATAAAACTTATGAAAAAAACTTCACAACCTTAGACTAGTGAACATTTCATGGGCAAGGCAAATAAAAGTATTAACCATAAAAGAAAAAAATTAATAACTTGAACTTTAATAAAACAATTTTTTTATTCAAAATTCACAATTTAGGAAATGTAAGGGCAAATCACAGTAGAAAATATTCTCAACATACATATCTGACAAAGGACATACTCAATATTTGAAGTTTCTTACAATTCAAAATATAAAATGAAAAATCTCAAAACAAATCTAAACAAAAACATTTTAACAGATCAAAATACATGAACATGTGGTGAATATTCATGAAGGAAGTATAAACTAAAGCAACAATAAGTTGTCATTTCACACCCACAGAGATTGGCTTAATCAAAAATGCTGATAATGAAAAATGTTTGTGAGAATGTGGAGCAATCAGAAAGCTCATACACTGATGTTTGAGAATGTAAAGTGGCTAACCAATTACAGAAATTTTGACATTTTCTCATAAAGCTAAACATGTATGTACCATATGACTCAAAAAAATCTGCCCCAAGTATTAATTCCATGAGAGATGAAAATATATGTAAACAAAATGTCTTGTTTAGCAGACAGAAGAACTAAGATGATGACAGCAGGTACCCTGCTTCACTCTTGAGAGGCTCATCTAAAACTTAACCAGAGGGGTTCTGTAACCAGAGAGTTCTGCTCCCCACTCTGTCTCTGGTGAATCCTCTAATCCCCTGCACCTCTGGCCTGTGCCCCAGATCTTGTATGAGTAAAATAAATACATCTGTTTTTAAAAAAAGAAAATCTAATTGAAGAGATAGGTGGTTAAGGAATAAAAACAGATAACCTATAAAGGTACTACCACCAAGCTTACATAAAACTTCTCAGAAAAAAAAATCCTACATGCAAGGAGGAAATGGAATGATGTGTTTATAATACTTAAAGACAAAATCTGTCATTAAAAATGTTATATTGTGAAGGACTCTCTCTCAATAGAACTTTCAATAAAATGTAGATAAAGGGAAAATAATAAACCCCATTTGTGACAAACCAGACATATTTTTGGTGTCATTTTCAGAAGAGAAATATAGAATAGATACACCGACAACTCTTCTGAAGTATAACAGAAATCCCATTAGTCTTAAAAGTATGTACTATTACTAAGGTGGATTCCACTTTTAGAAACAAGGCCCTCCTGACAGAGAGAAAATAAAATATGAGCATAAAATTACTGTTTCATTACTTTTGCCTGTTTGATTTTTCACTGAAAACAATACATATACCTATAAATCAGCATAAATGAAACAATTTAATCAAATCAATTTATTTACATAGATTGTTGGTCTTTCTCTTATATTGTTATTTATTTGTAGGAAGGTCAAGCTGTTAAGAAGCAAGTGACAGTCTATTATTTTAAGAATTAAATAGGACACTTTTTTCCTAAAATGTTTCATTAATTTTGGCCCAAAAATTTTATTACTTTTGCCCCTAAAATTTCATAATTGAATCACAGAAGTGCACAATGCATTACTATACATGTTAAACATTTAAAGTTGCCTGACTCCATTCTTGACTCTGTGCTACCTCACACCCTGATTCTGAAATAATATTAGGAAAATCCTCTCTGCTTTTTCATCTGCAAAATGTGCACTAAGATTTAATTTACCCATTCTTCATAAGAATATTTTAAGAACTGGTAGGTTAAGGTCCCCAAAGTCTTCCCAGCTCTTAGATATAGATACTATAAATATAGAAAATATAATCTTAGTTTCTGTGACAACAATTAGAAATACTAAAAAAACTCCCTTCACAAGTAATAGTGACTCATCACAAACAAGTTCATGGAAACTTAAATTTTACCATGAGGTAAATTCAGAGGTCTGAAGCTGGGAAAATAAAAGAAAGAATACTAATTAAATAATACCTGATGTTTTAACTATGTGCTTTCAGTGCTTGGATAAATCTGAGCTCCATGAGCCAAAGAATACTTCTATGGTATTCCTGGCATGTTGAAAACTACAGAGTATTGGCATTCTGTGTGGAATACATTTTATTTTAATAAAAGCAAGGAGTCTAATGGCAGTTGTTGAGGTGGAAAACAAGTATTACCACATTAGTATTTGCAAGCAAATTGCATTAGAGGGTATCCTAATGTTTTCAAAGGAAATAAGGCATTTTATATTATGAAGAAATATTATTCTATTTCTAGTGCATACCCATGGGGCCTACCTCCTATTATTTCTGAATATACCTCCAAAAATTCAAGGATGGAATTGTCTATTTTATTGTGCATTATTTTCTTTTTAAATTTTAAGATTCTCTTTTTCAATCAAAGAAATTAATCTTTTGTCTGCCCCTGCATTGTGGCATTTTTCCAACTCTATTGTTTATGTATTTATTTAATTTATGTATCTTTGCTATACAGATTTCTAAATCTTTTTGGAACTAAATGTATCTAGATTTTCATTTATAGATTCTAGATTTTTGTATTGGTAAAAAAGGGTGTCTAGAATTAAATATTAGAAATTTTTTTTAATTCCTTTAAGGAAACACTATTTTAAGGTAATATAAGCCACTGGGTAACTTTGACAGTTTTTCTCTTTTTCTTTTTCAGTTTGAAGTTATCCCTCTATCTATCGAACTATCTGTTCTCCCATTCATTTTCAACCAGATATGCCATTCTTCTTCATATAAGTGCCAGTCAGGACCTACCTCTATAAGACATTCCTAGATCTGACTTAAATCCCACACATCTAAGAGACTAAGTAGTAGAAGATGAATTAAAACATTCCATGATAAACCCATGAACCAGAGTAAACCTATTAGTACAAACAATTAAAATAATTCTGCTAAGGAAGCCCAGTTCTTGTGCAACTATTATGACCTTGCCTGCCTTAGCCATTGATAAGCATGCTTGTCTTTCTAAGTATAAGCCCCTTCACACCC